TTTTAGTGGATGAACTGACATTCCAATAGGACCGGGCATTATGATATACGCTTAAGATAATTTTTGAATCAACGTCCAGGGCGTTGGCAGAAGGGGTCCAATAGAGTGACCGGCCAGATCACCGGATCTTTCGCCTTTGGAATTTTTTTTGTAGGGATACGTAAAATTAGAAATATACGCCACTCCGCCTGCAGATCTTGCAGAGTTGCGACAAATAATTGTGACAGAATGCTGATTATTGACACCGAAGGTATTTGCAAATGTATGAAGAGGCTTTAAAAATATACTATATTATTGTATGGAGGTCACAAAAAGTCATTTCGAACATATAATTGGTCAATTTAGTGAAATTTTATGTTTTTTGTTATTACTATGTTCAACCAATAAATTAGTTAAATCCAAAATTATCTTCAAAGTTATTCCGAAATTAAAAAAATGTTGTCATGTAGAAGATAAACATACCTTTCTAATTATTGGGCCACTCGACCACACTTGCTATTAAAGAAACAGTGGGTTATGCGGGGAAGTAGGGGAGTTTATATTTGAGGACATAAATTTGCATGAAAATTCGTCCCCCTCCCAAAACAAATTAACATGTTTTTTTTTTTTTAATTTTGAAGAATCTCTTTGTTTCTGAGTTTCTGAGAGTGGTCAAATTTTCGTTGGAACATACTATATATTTAATGTGTTTTTTTTATAATATAATAATATACAGATTGAACGAAATAAATTCGGAACATAGGAATATAATGTATTTCGGCTTAATTCTGCTGTAGGTGGTTGGCCAAAAAAATATTGTCAAATAATTATATTATAAAAATCCAATACTTCAGCGGGCTGCTAGGATTCTGAACTCATAAAAATTGAAAAGCTACACATAAATCTACGATTTATGCTGTCAAACCAGTTATATTCCAGGAAATGAAGCATTTCACCTCGCAATTTTTTTCGTGCTCCCTGGATTGACTTGAAATTTAACAGAAGGTAGGTAATAGCCTAAGGATCAAAATCTGTATCGAACCAAAGTGCGCCAAAAGCCTAGGGGGTGGTTGCCACCCCATCTCCGGGGTGAATTTTTTTTTACGTTTTAACTACAGGTTTTCGATTAAAAAAAGTGATTCTAAACAAAAAATGTGGTATACATTTTTTTTATAAAATGATATTTTTCAAGTTATTCGCGATTAAAAGTAATAATTCTTTTAGATGGAAAAAATCCACGTTTTTAATTCGATTTTTCGCGAATAATTCGAAAATGGTGCATTTTTAATCAAAAAAATTGTAGAGAACAAATTTGTAGCTTTTAAAAAGATAAATACAATTCATTTTTTAAATGTTTTTGGATATAATAGGAACCGAAATACGGCCTATCAATGTTCAGCGGTTTTCTTCAAATGCCAAATTTGAAAGATTCAAAATCAAATATCGGGAAAATGATGCATTTTTGGAAGAGAAAACTCACAAAACCTTTTTTTAAAGAGCATAAATAGACCTATCATTAAAAAGAGACTCTAGCTCAAAAATTGAGTGTGAGTTATGATGAAAATAAGGTCAATACCTCATTTTTTACGAAAAAATCGATGAAAACAACCCACTAACCACCCAATAATTAAAATCGATCTTCACCCTTCTGAAATTCCCTTTGTACATGTATTGTTAATACGTCCAAGAAGTTTGACCCATTTAAAATGCTTTGTGTTAGAAAAAGTACAGCCTTAAAGCGAGAAACGATTTACAATTTCATATTTTTTACCTTTCTTTTAAATATGCCCGAAAATACTGAATATATGAAAAAATACAAATTACCAAATTGTAGCTTTTTTAATGACCAAAATTATCCTTCATTTAGATTTGTTGTACAATGAATATTTGGCGAGATATAGCCGTTTAAAGCATCGATTTACGATCAAGCACATCTTTTTCGAGCCCTTTAAACTCACCAATTTAAAACCAAGGGTTCCAAAAGATTTAAATTGACAGATTTTTCATAGTTTTCACCCCTTAGACAAATCAGGGTTCGTCGACTTGACATAAACTATAAGGCAGCGGTGTGAATTGAGCTTAAATCCAATTTTTTATCCAAATCGATCCAAGGCGAAATCATTTTTTTAGAATTAGTAGATTTTTTACATTAATGCTCTAACAAGGGTTGCTTTTTAAGGGTTGAAATATGATGAAACTCTATTCAAAAGTATAAAATAATCATTATTAACTAATTCAAACCAAATCTTACCCATATTCAGGTTTTAAATTTGTTATTTTATAATTTTTGGATCAAATTAGGGTAGTTTTCACCCCTTAAAACCCTTCAGGCGACACTTCGGTTCGATATAGATTTTTGATCACTTGGGGACTATCACCTACCTTTTCTGTTAAAATTTCAATCGGATACATGCAGGACGAAATAAATTGCGAGGGTGTTAACTATTTTTCTCGTGCTTCATTTCCTGAACTATTATCGTTTCCTTAGACAAAACCCGTCTTACGCATTACAACATTGTTGTGTGACAGACTGCTCTGAAACGATGTTTTTGATACAATGTCTATTCCCAGGTTTGGATTTATTTTTGTGCCGAGTTTTTATTTTGGTCCACTATTTCTATATGCTGTTCAATTACAGACCATGTCTTAAATTGTATGTTCCGTTTCAAATTTGGTTTCAATCTGTATGTTATGAAATTTTGAGCAAAAAGTTATGATCCACACTGTACACACTAATATTGCAGAACTCGCTTACATTTTAATCATTGTCTTGCTATTTTGATTGACTTTTTATATTTAACTCCTCATTATTACATTGCGATCATATTGGGTTACATCAATGGTGACGGTGCTGGCTATTAGTCGCTAGATGCGTTTGATTATATAGAGATCCGCAACAACGATTTATTGGTAATTTAATGGATATAATATAGTCATATGCCCTACTTTTACCATAGAATTTGCTACTAAGAAAATATATAATTCGTGAAATATAGTGATTTAAATTAGTTCTTCTTTCTTCTTCTTCTGGTTCCTATCCGTTTCGGATGTTGGAAATCATATTGGCAATCATAACCTTGCTCGCTGCGGCTCGAAAAACAGCTCCGTTGAGGTTTTCTTAAACCATGTTCTTAAATTCCGCAGCCACGATATTCTCCTTCTACCGGGTCCTCGCTTACCTTTGACTTTACCTTGCAATATGGGACTGCAGCAGGAGTAACGGTGCTGTTATAAAATAGTTATCAAATGGAAAAGATAGCGATTTAAAAATAGTAATATTTTTGACTACGTTAAAGTGTTAAGTTAAGAAGCGAGAAACAAGACAAGAGGCGTACACAAAGAAAGGAAACGAATCCGCTATAAAATCATGGAACTGTAATTATTAGCATAACCTATAATCAGTGGGAAGTAATTACAACGATATTTCTTTACAGACAGTTCATCAATAGGAAAAGGAATTTAACAAACAAGGAAAGTTAATAGGGCTACGCCGGATAAGTACTTAGCCTACAGAGCGAGAAACGTCAATACTTGCTGTATCGCCGCAACATAGGGACTGTTTCAGTATTTCTAGGGCGCACCGTTAGTCGGGTGCCCTCCACCGTTTTTAAACATATTCCTTGGTCTCTGATGTGTATCAGTGGATCCACGGTCTCGTCCCCGGACAGTTACTAAACGACGTAAAAACTCTCTTCGGTTTACGCTTAAATATAGTCAAACACTGCTCTGTGTGGGTTTCATGGCTTGCGCTTTGTTGCCGGGAGTTTATACAGGAGTATGACAGAAGCAGTCTTTTGAGGTTGGCCTACTGTCTCAGCTATCTCGCGCACGTCAGCTCGGTGGGTCTACCAATACGGAGATCATGGATTTGTCTGTCACGTTATAACTCCGTGGTAGCCATTTTCAAGAGCACTCGCTAGGTGTGGCTCATCAAAAGACCGACGTGCCCACCACGTTTTGAAAACTCGTGTACCACCAATTTTTGAAGGTTGCCGTTTTAAGGAGAAAGAGTATATATCACAGACATCCAAGCGCTCTCTTGATCTTTGCTCCGGAATTTTCCTCCATAAAACAAGGGATTCGAAATCACCGACTCGTCACAAATTTTGGAATTACCTGATTGATTCCAACACCCAACAAATCAGGTCCCGAAATTGAATCTGTCGACTACAAAGACTGTATAGGCACGATAGTTAGATTTCTCTTGAGTATTACTGCGCGTCATTGGGCTATGGGGCTACGTACTTATTCGCACTGGTCTTCGTTCTATTGAATCGTTCGGTGGAAACTTTAAACCGGGTACTTACTTATGGAAGACGAATAAGGATGAGCTAAAGTAGTTCAAACGAGAGGAGAAGAAGAGAATCCACCGACGATTCTTGAATTTAATTACGCTGTTTAAGAAATTTCACAGAACAAATACACCGCGACTTAGATTTATGGCTCAGGCTAAACTAAAATAACTAAGATGGTTATGTGTATCCATTAATGGTTAATAGAAGCTGCATCATTGGAATACTTTGCAGTGCATATCAACTATTTTGATTAAAAAAACTCTTTTTGAATGCTTTAACCCACAGAGGAACTACGCTCCTAAAAGGCGCATTATTAAATATTCTATATACTATATTATGCCACCGTTATGGCACCATATGTAGGTGGTTTATTTCAGAGGTGGATAAATCGAACAAATTCATCAGATTGCATACAGTCTCAGAAAATTTTTAATAAGAGAAACCACTGGACTATGTGTGTTATACTCGCTACATTTATTTATAGGACTTCAGGGCAGCCATCGGATCTGTATATAATGTCAAAGAAATACTAGAGCAATGAAAGAAACTAGTGGTTACCAAATTCAGTTAAGTACATTTACCAACCCTTTGAACATAGTTAAAATGTTGGGTACGAATCCAGGGGGAACTGTACTGTAACACTTTAAAACAAATAACGGGCTGCACCTTGGAGGGACCCTTCTTCTGTATTACGATTCAAGGTGGCTTTGCAAAAAGTCAATTCATATGTCACAAATCCACAACCACCTGTTCAATATTAATACAAATCAGTGCAAAACCTTGTCGTTTGTGTTTGCTAATCAATATTGTTGGGAGAAAACGGCCAACGTTGTACGACAGGCGCTGATGGTGAGTACTAAAAGAAGCGGCTATAAATCGGGACTTTAATAACTAAGCATAGCGCCCTCAAATCCTACGGCCACTTGGTATAGAAAACGACGTCATCGAAGGAGTTCACGAACTTGTATACCTGGAAATGCTCGTCAATACTGATAATAAAACTACGGCAAAGATAAACGCCAGAATTTTTCACGGGCCAACAAGTTGCTATTTTGAGCTTATTCTACATGGTAAAACATCCAATGATATCGAGATATACACAAGGTAAATCTCGACCAATCAATCATACGCCCAGGTCCTAACATTTGGTTTTAGAGAACCCTATTCTCGTAACAAAAAAGTAATAAAAACATGTTATGATGTCTCGAAAAATTAACCTACTAAAGACCAATCTAATAGAAACAGTGAGTATTGACTGAGGGAAGTGAGTGTTGAGTAGAAGTCTGATTCAACTTCGAACTTTATAGACTATATTAGGAGTCAGGATATCGTTACAATATATTAATATAGACGTCTGATGTAGGAAGGGCATGTAATGCAGATGGAACAAATTGACGCAGCTAGAAAAATCCCTCCTTTATAGACCTATTGGCCAGACAAAAAGAGGAAGACCCAGAACATTATTCCTTTAATAACATCAAAAGTATAAGAAATATATGAATGAGTATTTGCAGGTGAAAAGGCGATTGTGACTATTAACGTCGATAAGAGTTTCTGGAGGAGACTAGGATCCCACACGAGCCATTCTAAAACCAGCAGTGACGAATGATTTGATGGATATTACAGTTTAAAAGCAGAATTTATAAACTAAAAAATTTTAGACTCTCTTGTAATTGGGTATTTTTAAATAACACCTTATAATGGGTTTTGTTATTATCAAGCACTTGGAGACTGATACTCTCCGGGGGAATAAGTTTTATTAGCATTTAAGAAAGATTTCTATTCAACCTAGCTACTTTCTAGCATTGCGAGGGCACTATAACTATTCAAAAACAAAATAAGTAAAAACTAGTATTTGTACTAATCTGAATCTTCTTTTAATACTAGTAAACTAGGAAAAAATAATACCTATATCAATTTACAATACAAGAGGTTATATGAACTGAATAGCAAAGATCTAAAGTGCCATATAACACTATTGTATGATTTCACGGACTCTTCTTATAAAAGGAGGATATTCTTAAGGTGTTTTAAGACATTTAGACCAAAGAATGGTAATGGAGACTTTATCTTAAAATGACGTCATCAACAATTCATTATGCTGCTATTCGTATTTTATTTAGAACTGATACTTGCTTTTGAGTATTTTATGTTAAGATTTAGGCTTTTCTTTTATCTGTATTTATATTATCGTCTCTAAATCTTGATCTTCTGCCAATTAGTTGTAAATGTTTGAGATATTTGACATTTTGATATATGAAAATATTTTTTTTAGCTTTACGAAACTGTTTTGCATCCTAAAACAACAGGATTTGTGTATTTGACGCAGCAATTATTACAAAAACATAGTCTGGATGCTGTATACGATATTATTTTTTAGTACCTACCAAGATTGTGATCCCCCATAATGAATAATGGGATATTAGACGGAAAAAATCTTCATAGAGTTGTTAAAGTTATCTGGTGAGGGTTTTAAAAAAAGTTTCCCTAATAATCGTATACACTTACATTAGCAGTTTAAAAACTTATTTTTCAGGTTTTAGAAGGTCTTTGGAATTCTAAATTCCATTAGCTCTTTTTACGCAAATTATATAGGGCATCCATCACATTTGACTTTATTTTTTTCCCAATATAATTTTTTTATATTTTGCTTCAATATTTCAGTGACTATGTACTGCTTCTTCCGTTTATTTTACTATAATAGATAATACATACTGTTTTTAATGTTATGTGTCAGAAAAATAGCAATGCATCGGAAGATGGAGTTCCTAACTTCCTACTACAACACCAAAGGTGGTAACTCTTGGTGAGATCGGTGCTAAAATAATAATATAGGGTATTTACGATCTCCATTATAGATCAATGAAAGTACATTACATTAGAGTACAGCAATATGGTTACATAAAACAAGATACTTTAGTCTGGTATAGGTGTCTTGGTCGGGGTTCGTCAGAGCTAGACCAATAGTTCACGAGTGAGATAAACATAAGAAAAGGAAAGAAAATAAAATTTTGGTCATCCCCCCGATTTACGCTAATAGGAACAGGGGAACCTAGTAGATAGAAGAACGGTTAAGGAATTAAATAGAGAACGATAATTACGAAGATACACGGAAATTACTGCACCTTAAGAATAAAGTATTAAATTAATTAATTATCGCAGGCTTTTTTATTCCACATATTCTTTTACCTTCTATGAGACCATTTTTCTAATTACCACGAATTCTTGATTTTTTTATGGACTCACGGTTAGTACAGTATAAAAATTATATATGCATTGCCTTAATACATGGCATGGAAGAGACGAATTTGCAATGGTTATACCCAACCTTTATTAGTAGACTGGGCACTAGAAGAAAAAGTAGAAGATTGAATAGCACATTACGAGATTTAGTGAGTTTTGGGATGAAGAAATTTTATGAAGAACATGAATAGAGTAGAATAGAATCGTGAAATTATCAAAAACGCAAAATCTGTTCGTTTGTTGATGATATCTTTTGACACCATCAGGAGTATAGCTGTACCTTGTAAGCTGATGATGTGTGAATTGATGATAGTAGGTAGACGTGATCCTGAGCTGGCGTCCCATTTTTGGCTACGCTATCATCAAAATACTAAACAGGATTATACATCTAAAAGCTAATAAGAAAAGCGCAAAATTATGGAAGACTAATTGGAGTAGGAGAAGATGTTTTGTATAGCTAAGTCTTGTGCGATGCCCCTTTTCCTTAACATAAGACGAGAACCCTACATTCAAGTGGTTGGATTATTTAGACCTTTGTCAACGGAAGGTTTAAATGCGATTCTTGAAGAAATTATTGTAGATCCGAGTTTTACGTAGTTTTTTTCTTATTAGAGCACACTTCAATTTTACAAACACTTTTATTTTTATAATTTTTCTTGTAAAATAGTAAGCTTTCATGACTACTTTACTAAGTCGAGTATATGTAAATACAGCGAAATGTGCACTAAGGCGACCTTAATGTTCTATTAACTGTGAAATAAGTAATTGTACGTAGAGCGCGAGATGAATTATCCGACTGAGTGTGAGACAAATTCTTGTACGCGAGATGTGATGTTTCCACTAAGGACAAGAGATGTTTACATAGAAAACGCGTGATATTGTCCCAGCTAAGGACGAGAGACTATTTTTGTTATGGCAAAAAACTATCAATTTTTGAAGAGATTTTACGATCTTTTTATGGCTGTCTAGTTTTTAAATTCAAAAGCAATAAAACATTTCTATGTTCAAATGTTTAAAAAACATAACCATTAATAAGAGTAGAAGAATAAAACCTGCAGATATGTTTATAAAAGGTCAATTCATATTGTTTTTTTAAGAGACCACCTGGTTTTCCTGGCGCCTAGAGTTGACGGTTCAGATATTGTGTAAATAATATATAAAAAGAGTAAGAGATCTGACCAATCTACTACTTAATACCTTATCCAAAAAATTTAAGGAAACAAAACCGAATTCGTAAGAGTATGGAGATCAAGCATCCTAATACCGATCTTTAAAAATGTAGACAAATTGGAAAGAGGAATTAATTTATTACACGATCTAAAACAACAAGGTTTTAGGTTGGGAAGATCATACACCGAAGCTATATTTATAATGAGGCAAGTGTAAGAGAAATCAGTAGAATACAACAAACCGGCATATCTATGTCTCGTGGACATTAAAGAAGACATTTGACTGGGTCAAATTAAAGGACGGTATCAAATTATTGTACATAAGAGAGATACCTTTGGGAATAATAAAAACGATCGAAAATATCTACCAAACAATACAATAAAAGTAGAAGAAGAACTAACTGACCCTATTAATGCTAGCAATGGGATATGACAGAGATATTCCTTGAGTCCTCTATTGTTCAACCTGATTATGGATGAAATAAAAAAAAGGAACTAAAAAGGGTACCAAATGGAGAAAAACAACTTTAAATAATCTGCTATAAACCAAACGTATGCTGTAACACAATTTACTATCTACGCCAGGAAATTTAAAATGTTAATTTCCCAAAAAAACAAAATGCATGGTTATAACAGCAAATTTACTAAGATGTAAATTGGAGTTGGAAGGTTAGATAATAGAACAAGTGATGTAGTCTAAATATCTAGGTATCACATTATAGCTACGAAAAGCTCGAAACAGAGGTGTAAGATCAAGCGAATAGAGCAATCAGAGCCGCAGGTTGCCCGAATAAAACAATATGGAGAAATAAAAATATCAGGAAAGAAGTGAAAGGCAGAATTTACAAAGAACCATTAGACCAATAATGATATACGCTGCAGAAACACGACGTGACACAAAAACGATGTTAGAAATGGCAGAGATGAAAACACTTGATGGTAAAACACTATGGGACAGAGCTAAAAGTACAGATATATGACATAGATGCAAGGTGGAGAACATCAAGGAGTGGGTAAGAAATAGAAGACTAGAATGGAACGATCATATAAGTCGAACGACAACAAATAGAGTAGTAAAGACGACAAGAGATAGTTCCGCAATAGGAAGAGGATCAGAAGGAACACCACGAAAACGATGGAACGACAACTTACTGAGGCACATTGAAAACAGACAAAGAGTCATGTCTATATAAAAAAGAGAATAAAAAGAAGAAGAAAAGAGTCTGCAAGTGTTAAAAAAGGATCAAATAAAATTTTTTGTTTTGTACCGATAAAATAATAGTTTGGACTTTGATTTACTGGCGCCTAGTGTTTGTCTCCTCAAAGATTATGTAAATAATGTTTCATTTCAGGAACTTAACATGACGTCTCGAAAATTCTAGACTTCTTCATTACTTTATCTTTTTTCTTTCTCTTTTTCGTCAAGGGACTTTTTCTATATAAAATAAATCTCACGGAACTGTCGTAATAATATGAAAGGTTCTGCTTTATGAGGTAATAAAAATTGACATTTAGATATTTAACAAAAACTCATTTTTTAAGGGAGATAAATGCAGTACACAGGCGTATTTAATAAAGAAATATGTTTGTCGAAAAAGAAACATATACAGAGCAATATTAAGAAAGTATATGAGGTCATGACCTCAACTTTTTTAACATCGGTTAGAACTTATTTCCTGTTAATCCAGTGGTTACGTAGACTCTAGGACATTATTTATGTTATTTTAAATTCTATCGTCCTCTAATAGAGGTAGGTATTTGGAGCATCTTGTTAACTCCGTTGCCAGTTTCCGTTGCCTGTCATGTAAAATATGAACTTTGAAAAATGTATATGTTTTTTAGCTGTACTCATTTTATTTGGTTTACTTTATTTTTTAGATATCCAAAGTCAGTATTGCCCACATCGGAGGACGGGTTAAAACAATTTCTAGAAAAACGCTGGAGAGATAAAGAAACGATTATAAAAGAATTCAATGCTACAGGCAAATTTCTCCACGGTCCAATCCTCAGATGCAACAAAAGATGGGAACTGTATGTAGCTTTCCTTTTTTGGACAACTCTTCCATACGTTAGCGCGTATCTTTTTATAACTGAGATCAAATATATGATAATGGTTGTGTTAAACACATGTTTTATGCTATGTACTAATTTTTGCTTGAAAGAATTTTTGAACTTTGAGGTGTTTTTACATTTATGGAGAAAGGATAAAAATGTTCGCTTAGGGTCATCGTCTTAGGAAAAATATTCGATCCTATACTGTGTACCTTACTAAAGAGATTCTGTGGAATAGTGTCTGGACGAAAATTATAAATTATATGCATCATTTCAAAGTTTTAAGGGATTATATGATCTCTTAACTACTTAGTTTTACCAGCTACTGCGCAGAATTCTGTTAACGAGGCGAGGTTACTTTAAAAAAATATTACAAATTGTAGTTGGCATTGGCAAATAAAATATTTTACTACAATAAAAGATTTTAATGTACGTATGTATAACGGGTTAAACAAAATACGAATATGAAATTTGAAGCCTTATAAAATTTAGTAGGTACAGCAAATTGCATTAGATCAATATACAGATCTAAAGAAAACTGGGATCAAAGATTTGTAATTTTAAAATTTACAAAAGTATTGAAAATTTTATAGGCACCGTTTACAGCGTCTTACGGAGGTGCTTTAAAAATAACGAAATTTTTTATAGGCACCAAAGATCCATTGAATAGATACAAAATGGGTCAGAAGCTTATCAGAAAGTACATTCACATTATACATGTATTAAATTTTTAATGTTTTATGTATAAAGAGAAAATTTAAAGCGGTTACAAGAATTCAAAGTATGCATGCGTGGTTGAGTGACTTTCAGTCATATTTGTTGTATCACATATAAAACATATACTGTTTTGTTTTCTGGAATACAATTGTTTTAAAAAAGTTCACTACACTCGTTTATAAAACTCTAAAATATAACATGTACATTTTAACCGATCACGTCAGATGTCAAATGGAAAATAAAAAACGCCATGGTTTTAGACAAGGCATAGTCGAGAGATGAAAAACAATTTTTCTTTTGTGGCGTCTCAAGTTCAATCGGTTTAACTATCTACGGCGATTTGCTATTCACGCTGGCGTCTCTTTTTAGCTTCTCTATATGCAAAGTTGGAACTTGAAGTAGATAACTAATGTTATGTAAACAAATCATCAGTTTTATTAAAAACTTCTTCGGTTCCTAAAATCTAATTACTGGAATGATTCAAGTTGGATCAATAAGTAAACCAAAACTTGTTAGTCTGTGTTAGTGCAGATCAATAGTTTGGTTATCTCGAAACTCTTTATTAGAAGTCAAGTCAACCAAAACGTATACCTAGGTATAGGTATCTAAAATATTTATGTCACGAAAAAACATAAGTATAGCAGTTTTACAATGATTTCTTGTTCTTGGGTGGAAAGCTTGGGTTTTTCCGTAGTAAAGGCAAACAGTTGCTATATGAAATGCTATTGAATAAATAAATAATGTATTTAAATGTGTTGAGGAATATAGACACCACACTTTCTTGAGTTTAAGAAGATTTAAGCATAATAAACGCTTAAAAAACTTGGTATAAATAAAAAAATACATCTTTGCCTACTCAAACATGTGTTCACAATAAGAATGCAAAACTCACTTAGAAAGAATGGCATACTCTGAGAAAACAAACACAATAACTCTTTGTTATAGTTGGGTATTTAAATTTTGATAATGCGATATGTAAAACGATATGACTATTAATCAAATAAATTAAAGAAGTAAATGAAATGTACTTCATGACATTCATAACTAAAAAAGGATTTACTTGTTAGAAATATAAATAAAAGACCCAACCATGCCCAGCTAGCAAAGTACCTCTCTACGTAAAATAATTTTAAAGATAAACATTAAAAGATTACGCCTAAGTTGTTAAAATCATTTTAAAACAATATTGATTTTATTTTACATCTCCATTTATCAACGATCTTTGATAATATTGCGACACTTTCCAACTTATGAACCAACTAAACCAACAATACCTATAAGATAGAAGCAGGTCTGTGATAAAATTTTGTACTTTAACATCAATACTGTTTGCATGTATAATCACAACTAGCGATATCAACATCTTAATAAGAAAAGACTAGCATTTTTAATAGATTAGGTATGATATCTGACATTTGCTGGACCATTTCCATGTACGATACCATAACGATTATATAAAAAATATGCTGAAACTATCGATGTTGGGATGGCTGCTAGATAGGTCTTTTTTAACTAAAAACCAGCTCAAGATGTTCTATTCTTTGCTTAAATTAGTATGCATATATTTTTATCAAGTCGACTGAGGTCATTTGCTCACTCGATGACTGGACGAAAATGCAAGAGATCAATATTTTAATACAATAAATCCAGTAGATTTGGTTATATATTATTAAAGAATACCGAATCTTTAATACCCACATAAAAAATATGTTGTAAAAAACAAAGGGTTGTAATTTGAAGAGCAGTATTTGGAAGGTTTGAATTTGTATGTTTGGTTGGCAAACATCTCAAAGACAATACCAATATTTTTAATGATGACTTGTATGTGAATAATTTTAATGTAATGCATGTAGGAGAAACACAGAGAACATTAGAAATCAAGTTGCGTAAATCAAATCTAGTGAGTTTCGAAAATAATAGCATTGAAGAAACCATCGCCATAGAGCAGATTGCATAATCACAGCGCCCTGTATACTTCACCATTCTTCTACCTATATACTTTGCCTTTCAGACCACTAGAAGGGCTAGAATTGACAAGAGTACAATTGGAACTATAAATAATACATGGATGAAAGATAGCTGAAACTAAAACAACACATAACGGAAATTGGAGTACTGGGCTCATGTGATGGGAAACCCTAAATATAAATTACTTTATGTAATTATTCAGAAAAACAAATCCAAAATAAAATAGATTCGACCAGGCAGGTTTTACAGCTGGGAAATCATGTGTTGACCACATCCACGGTATACAACAGCTAATAGAGAAGAAGATGGCAAAGAACAGACCAGTCCATCTAGCCTTTATTGACTTAAAAAAGGCATAAGACTCAGTGCCCAGACAACGACTGTGGGAAGCCATGCAACAAATAGGAGTAGAAGATAAGCTGATCCATTTAGTGAAGTCCCTGTACACACATAATAATGTTACAGTCAAATAGGTAACAAGTTTGGAAAAACCATTTAAAACCACGAAAGGTCTCCTACAGGGCTGCTCGACTTCACCTACACTCTTTAAAATATTTCTTCAATACGACCTAAAGCCATGAAATAGGAAATGTGAGGGATTGGGAGTACCCATAAGAAACGACCATCTGTATACCCTGAGTTTCGGCGACGATCAGGTCATAATAACACAAGACGAGGAAGATCTAAGTTACATGGTTCGAAAACTAGAAGAATATAATATAAATGATCTGGGAATAAACATTAACAAAATAGAATATCTGAACACAACACAAGAACCAACAAGAAACCTGGAAGTGGATGACGGGCATGAAATAAAGGGGACCGATAAATTTAAATACCTGGGTTCATTATATCAAATAAAGGTACTACAGAAGAAGAAATTAAAAATCGAGTGGGTCAAACCAGAAACTCTATAAGACAACCGAATCTAATCCTATGTGACAGACACATAACAAAAATTAACAAAGAAAGAATTTATAACACGATGAAAAGCAGAAGAAACAAAATAAACGCCACAGAAATGGATTACTGGAGAAGAAGCTGCAGACTTTCCAGAATGGACAAAATAACTAACGACGAAATCAAAAGACGAATGGAGATAAAGAAAGACACCTTAAATTACATTGAAGAAAAAAGATTGAAGTGGTACGGACATGTCAGACGAATAAACCCAAACCGATGGATAGCAAAAATAACAGTGGAGCCCCATAGGAAAACGCAAAAGAGGCAGACCAAGAAGATCTTTCAGAGATGAGGTAGATGAAGCCATGGAAAGAAGAGGATTGAAAGACGGAGAATGGAGAAAATGGTTGAGAGAAGGGAGACAGCGACAGCTGTAGGAACCCCTTTCATATTTATATATATATATATATATATTATTATATTATATATATATATATATAATTATTCAGAAAAATAAAAAGACATTGTCCTGGACGACGACGTCTAGATCAAGAATCTCTACCAGTGGTGTGTAATCAGCACCACGATGCTATTTAAGTCCGCTGCGGACAAAGTAAAGATCATACGACTACCTAAGTACCAATAGGACGCTCAAAAAAAAATCTCGCAATAATATAAAGATGTCATAATTACTTGCAAGTTACGAGTATCATAAAATAATCTTAACGATTTGCGTAAGATCAATTTTATAACCACACACATACAATCAAAGCCTATACTTTATGTTTTATGGTGGTGTAGTGGTTTTTGTGAAAAATAGCAAATAAGTATAATGAAATCTGGGGTTAGTAATAGATGGAACCGGAACATTTACGTCCTTAATCAAGAAAAGTTTATATCCGTAATATTATCTCATGTTATAATATAATTTATTAATTATTCGATAGCCAAAGGATGTACCTGAATAAATCCAATATCTGATTTGTATCAAAATGTAAACTTTTTTAAAATATTCCAGAAACTTTTAGAAGAACTTAATTGTGTACAAAGTGAGTTTTAAACATTTTTCAACTCAACAAAAAAGACTAAACGAGTACCTGCTGACTAGGGTACGAAAGTAAACTTATCAAAACAAACGACGTTAATATTATCAACAGCACAAGTTCCTGATTGATATTTTCGTGAGAAGATTCTTAAAAATCTTGTTCATGGTTATAAAGCCATTATTCACAAATATAGTCAAATACTAAGTTTATTCGTAGATTGGTTGACACTGGGCCAGGAAGAGTTTTAAAGGTTAAATATAACTAAAAATGTATTTACAATTACGAACAGCTTTGATTGAATCATAAAAGAATAGGTATATACATTTGGAGATTAAGGAGTTGATTTGCTATCTTATATTAAGTTAGCATAATTGTATAATGTGAGGATATTATGATTAGTAGAATACCTACTATTGGAAATTATAGATTCAACTAGGAAATTATGGACGAGAACAGTAAAAAAATAATCAAGTAATATTTATATACTACTTAAATGTATTATATTGAGGTGTAGGAAAGAAGTCAAAGGATCTGGTTGACCATACAATCTCCTTAAAAATTGGAAAACTGAAATACATCTTGGAAAATTTAGCCTTCAGGATTCTTAATGGTATTAGATTCATAGATGTTTCATTGATGTCACATGGTAAAAATAATAAGTACTGAGACAGTCTGTTCATGAAAATTTTTCCAGTATACTTCCACAATTGACTTTCTTAATACTTATTATTCTTGCAAATTATTTGTCTTTATTGTATTGATGTTATTTGTCAGACATTAAACAATTAATCCTAATGTATTTTAAAATATTACTTGGAAGAATGCATAGGACAGTTTTCAATTATATATTAAGGTAATATTTTAATCATTTTTTGGAAACGTTTAGTTTTAAGCATTGCTCAATAAATGTATCTTAAAAGGTATATACGAGAAAGAGAATATAAACTTAAAGTTTTTGGAAACTGTTCATGTATACGCATTGACATAGCTTTTTCTCTCTTTTACCTGTTTGTTAAACAGAGTTGAGAAAGCACGAAGGTATTGATACTTATATAGGAATCTTTTTCTAGGTGTTTTAGAATAATTAAGGAAACTTGCAAAGTTTCCAAAATATTTTTGTGCATTTATCGATATTTATCAAAGTATATTATATAAATGTTTCTCTTAAGATGTTCTAAAATTTGTCTCGACATCTGCGCACCTAAGTTAAGGTTTTTTGAAGTGGAAAATATCCAAAACTTTCAATTTTCTTGAATTATTAATCATATTTATTGAATTAAACAGGTATAAAAAAATATGCGGAAATATTAATAAAGTACAACTAAATTTGTCATTTGCTTTATAGTTTGTTGTCTGCGGCATGCTTTAATTGTCGGTGAATTCTAAAGGAAATATTTGGCGATTCAACTTTAACAACGAAAGCCAATATAAAAATAAAGACAAACTTTATGTCAGTTTGTTAAGCCAGTTCTAATGACGTTTAAACATTAATAATACATGCATTGATAGTATAGTCATTCAAGTTTTCCGTCTGACATGTTTCCATCTTTATACTCCATCTAAGACATGATCATATCACGGGAACAATAATGGTGCATTTTGGATTTTGTCTGTAAATTAGAGACATGCTTCAATTTTGCAGACTGTTATTTCGTCATAATCGCATATTGCTAATGTTTAAAACTGCATTTAACATGAAGTTAAAAACAATTCACAATACTATCCCAGAAGAAGACCGCGTTAATCGTATTCTCTGAAATAAAAGTAAAATTGGGATTTTGACTATCAGAAGGGACCAACCGATTCGGATAACTGATCACGTAACCAGGAGTAGTTTTGGAAATAGAGAATCGATTTAACAAAAGTTAAACATTAGATTCACTCGAAACGCAGCAGGGGCATGAGATTAAGTGGTTTGACAGTAAGACTGCGACTATATCAAATATTCTAAGCAATAATATTGAGTACTTAGAAAATAAAACCTATAGATAAGATTACCTAATATAAATAAAACCTGCAATAATTATTACAACTTACAACTAACGTTAAAGTCGCATGACTATTTAATTTGATGTGGGAACTACGAGTAGAAACTTTGGACGTGACAAATGGGTACAAAAGTAACAAACCAATGCTGCTCCAAACAGTAATGGTGTTTATCACAGTCACACCTACACAATTGGTTAGTGCTACAGAAAAATTACAAGCTAACTCTTCTTTAGGATAACTAGATTCGTTAAATGCTGATCAGTCAAAAAGGCACCTGTTGTTTACAGTGTCAATGTGTTTACAATTTATTATGAACATAATACTGCAACGAAACAACACATTTTCTATTCCAATACACATCCAATCAGCGTACTCGTATTGTAGGAAGTGCTTGATGGTGCGAGTGTGTAATATATGCGAAATTGTACGTACTTCTTGTGGAAATATATGAAAGTATTTCATTCAACAAATTAAAAATAAAATAGCCCAAAATTGACGAAGCTTACTAATACAACCAAACTCACACTATAAATGTAGAAGTTGTCATTAGAATGAGAATTGGTGTACTGGATTTAACTTTAAATGTAACTGTGTAGCCCTATTTCATAAACAATTAATTTGGTCATGACTTTGATCCAAATGTCGAAAACTAATATAAAATCGTCAAATATGTTCTTATTGCTTTTCATGACAATTAAGCAGACTTTTCTTACGAGCAACTAATAATATTCAAATATTAGATGGTACAAAACGATTAGGCTGATACAGATAAACATATTAAAGCTAATAGTTATATTTTATCATCCGGATATGCAAGGCATTCCAACAACTGTTAGGTGGAAGAATTGTAATTTTATACTATTTAGCACGACTTCTCCGCTTTATGAGGATTTAAGGCATTTTATTAAGGTCTTAGTAAATATGTTCTTAACTAACGGAATTCTTGCTAATATTGCTGTTTAAGAATAACTCTTCCACCAGGATCGGATGGGAGTCATATCGAAAAAATTGAACAAGTTCAATAGAATATTGTGTACACAGAATTGTCCAAAGAACATACATAATTTGGGGTTGTGTGATTGATATCCTTATATCTGAAGTACACACGTTGAACACACTTAATCTCAATTTTACCGATAAGTCGATATTTTAAAGGCCAAAATAAACTTATCTTACTCTTTTTATTAATGGCAGTCATTTGAAACGTACCTACATGCTCATTATTAAAAAGACTAAGACGACGATACTTTGCCCTTTGAAAATGGAAAAGGAGTTGAATATCCGCTTTCTGCATATTTAAGAAAAATACCTGTCAATCGTCAAGGCGGTTAGAACTGTGAATTAAGGTGCCAAAATAGAAAATAAGAAGTATTACATTATTAGACAATTATATATTGGTGTCATATTAGCATGTCAATGTTTATTTCAAATATATGTGTTTAAACCTCCAATGTGTCTTTTATTATTTCATCTTGGCAATAAAAATATCCACATTGAAAAGTTAAACTACACATAACCATTAACCGAAGTATAAGCCAAACTACGTCATTAAGTGCGTAATTGTAATATTATAATTCCAACTAACGTTGGGAGGCAATTGTTTTGGACTTCGTTACTACTTTCGTCACGACCTGACCAATAATAACGGAGATACGATATAGTGCCGTTTTGGCAAAGTTTTTGCGTTTGATTTTTGTCTTAACATATTTGTTACTACCTCTCCTTTCAATCGATACCTTGCACGTTAAGCCTTTTAGACGTTACAAGCTTAGTGTCCTTTTGGCTATACGCCGTCATATTTGTTTTTTGTGTTAACGTATTCGCTACTCCCTTCCCTTTCCGACGATACCTCACACGTCACGATCTGACCAATAACAACGGAGATACGATATAGTGCCATTTTGGCAAAGTCTGCGTTTAATTTTTGTCATAACATATTTGTTACCACATATATAATGCAGCAATACTTGAGATTTAAATGAAACTATACACGTTTTTGTGACGACATAAATTATTTTTTTGGAATCATTTTCAATTATTTCCTCTTTACGTTTAGTTCGTCGAATATTTACAACTTCAAAGTTACAATGAACATCATATTGTTTAACTTTTGATTTTATATAATTTTCAGAAAATTCTTTATCTATATCTTTAATTACCCCGTGTCTGACTGAATTTTTTTGGTTTATTTAATAATTTTCATTTTTGTAATCAACTAATTTAATTCTAATCCTATTACGACCTATAGAATCAATAAATATGAGTATTTTTTGAGTCCAATTCAGGAAATGCCGAATATTATCGAATCTTAAAGCAT